ATGTTTTAAAAAAAATCGAAAAACTCAACAAGCTAGTGGCGGAGTAGCTATTTTCACCAGAGCTGATTTGGAAGCTAAACCGATCGCGCTAAGTACTAATCTTGAAGCTGTAGCAGTCTCTATTACCTATCATAAAAAGATTAACATATGTAACATTTACTTACCACACCCTAGTAATCTTGATATGCACGAATTAAATAAACTTATTGACCAAATTCCACATCCTAAATTAATTTTAGGAGATATGAACTGCCACCACCCGGCATGGGAAAGCCACAAAACTGATAAATACGGTAACTTATTGAAAAACCTAATTGATTGTTCAGATTTATTGTTACTTAATACAGGAAATCCAACTAGATTTAATTCTTACAACGGCTCATTTTCCGCCATTGATATATCCTTATGCAGTCAATCACTCTCAACTACATTCTCATGGAACACTTTAAACTCATTATATAATAGTGACCATTTTCCAATTTCTATAACATCAGATCAAATTCGTCCCCTTGATTTCCCAATATATCAGTCCTGGAAATTAAAAAATGCAAATTGGGCATCCTATCAATCCTATATCAATGATAAACTTGAAAACTTCTATTTAAGCAATGATATAAACTATGATATCACCTCTTTAAATAATATCATTATTGAAGCAGCTTTAGAAAATATAGGAAAGACAAAACCCTGTAAAAGGCAACCCGTACCTTGGTGGAATAGTAAAATTGCAAAAGCACTCTCATCTTGTAAACATGCCTTTAATAAACTTAAAAAACATAATACAGACGAAAACTTATTCAATTTTAAAAAACTTAGAGCTGAATCAAGATATCTTATGAAAAAAGGCAAAAAAGAAACTTGGAAAGACTACGTATCGTCCATAAACTCATCAATACCTTCACAGGTTATTTGGTCTAAAATTCGGAAACTTAAAGGTACCAACTCCTTTAGGCATATCAATGCACTAACATATAATAATGAGATCATCACCTGTAAAAAAGCTATTGGTGAAACTTTAGCCGAAGTTTACCAAGAAATCATTCGAAATCGTTGATAAAGAATCTGCTGATCCAATAAATGCTAGCATAACTCTTCAAGAACTAGAATACTCTATTGCAAACTCCAAAAATACATCCCCAGGACAAGATGATATTCCACCAATATTCATAAAACACCTACCTTTCAGAGCAAAAATAATATTGTTGGATTTATTCAATACCTGTTTTTTAAAACATAAATTTCCAAAACTCTGGTCCCAGGCAATAACTATTCCCATTATTAAACCCAATAAGCCCAAAGATATACCCTCATCTTATCCTCCTATTTCTCTCACATGCAGCATGTGCAAAATACTGAAAAAAATTTAAATCTCCGTCTAATATGGTATTTAGAAACAAAAGATCTCCTTACCTTATTTCAGAGTGGTTTTCGCAAGGGACGGTCTACATTAGATAATCATATTTCACTACAAACCTCAATTAATGAAGCCTTTGCAAACAAATAGGTAAAGAAATAATAATAAGACTTACTCACAATCAATTTAATTTAACAATCTGACGACCGGTTTCGTTTTCTACAATTTGCAAAGCATCCTCAGGTCCAGATACAAAGTTAAACTAATGCTGCAATAAAATAAACCCCATTAGGGTGGTGTCTAATAAAGATAAAATAAATAAATAAGTTAGTTCATACAAATTATAGTAATTATGCCAATATTACATGTCTGTGGTTTTCAAAATGAATAAATTTGAATATATAAAAGGTATTAACAGACAAGGTAAGACCCACAATTGGTATAAAGTAGTAATATTATATTGTAATAAATGAATCAAAGAGCAGATAAATAAAACAAAACAAACATCACTTACATGCCGGTACTCTATTAATTGATGGATGGTAGGTCATGGTTGCAAAAATCATGTATTGTTGATTGGAGAACTTTAATGTGCTATTGCAGTTGTTTTGACAATAAACGGGAAAACTGATTGTTTTCCAAATCATTGTTGGTTGAAAACAACCAACTTCTGATTGTTTTGACAAACAATCAGAAGTTGATTGCAATATTCTTTGACATAACTCAGGCTTTTGATAGGACATGGAAACACTCTATATTAGCAACACTTACTAATTATGGAATTCAATTAACATGCTTGCTTTTGTAAAAAATTTCTTAAGTAATCGTTCCACACAAGTTAGAATAAATGGAATCACAAGTTCTCCAAAAATGTTAGAAAATGGAATCCCTCAAGGATCAATTTTAAGTCCAACCCTATTTTTAGTGGCTTTTAATAGCATCATAAATGTAATTAGAGCTCCTATTAAAGGAGCATTTACGCGGATGATATTGTTATCTACACCAAATCTAATAACCTAGCTTCAGCAACAAATATATTACAACTTATGTTAAATTGACTTCAAAACTGGGCATTACAAACCGGATTCAATTTTTCTGCAGAAAAAACTCAATACGTAATTTTTAGTAAAAATAACACTCGCCATACAATTAATTTAATATTAAATGATTTACCTATAAAGCAGTCAACGGAAGTAAGTTTCTTAGGCCTAACTTTCGATAGAAAATTAAATTGGAATGTGCATATTAATAAATTACAACAAGCATGCCAAAACCGGTTAAACATACTTAAAATATTATCTAATAAATTTTGGGGTGCCGACTGTAAAACATTAATTAGCCTTTACAAGTCACTTATTAGAAGTAAATTAGATTACGGTTGCATATCTTACGGTGCTGCAAGCAAAACTGCTTTAAAAAAAACTAAATAGCATACAATCTACAGCTTTGAGATTAGCACTGGGTGCCTTCAGAACTAGCCCTATTAGTAGCTTACAAGTTTTAGCGAGAGAACCCCCTCTGCATATTAGACGCCAACAACTATCCCTAAACTATATAGGCAAAATATCAGCACAGAAACAACATCCAGTATTCTCCCAAATTTGCCATCCCAGTATTGCTTCTACAAAACTAACTAAAAATAGTACTCCCCTTATAGAACGAATAAAATCCTCTAACTTTGACATGGATAAGCTAAATCGATCTCTACAAGTCAGTGTAAATTTTCCTCCATGGACAATCCAACCAGTTACCATTGACTTAACCCTCACAAAATACCCCAAATCAACTACAAATCCGATTTTCATTAAACACTTGTACTCCGAAGTGATATCTGATTATCCTAATTATCTCCAAATTTTCAGTGATGCCTCTAAAGCTCTTGACGGACAAGCTGCTGCATACTATTGTAAATACACTTCTCACACTATATCCATACCTACTAACTGCTGCATCCTCACAGGCGAGGCCACAGCCATTTTGGAAGCCTTAATTTTCTTCAAAACGCATAGTGAGAATAAATGTGTCATCATCACTGACTCATTAAATGCTCTATTAGGTGTAAAACAAATATACCCTACAAATCCAATATTTCGGGCTATAAAAAATGAGATAAATATAATTCAATCAAATCGAAAAGAGGTAGCATTTATCTGGGTACCGTCGCATGTAGGAATAGCTGGAAATGAGAAAGTGGATAGCCTAGCAAACACAAGTCGAATAAACTCACAATACACAAACAAATCAAGAAATTACCCATACTCCGATCTCAAAAACCTAATTAAAGACCACTGTATGAATATATGGCAAGACTACTGGAAAGATTCAGGAACCAAACTATATGAGATTTATCCCCTTGTGAAGACCATCTTGAATAATCCATCCAATAGAAGGGACCAAGTAATAATTAACCGACTAAGAATTGGACACACTGCACTGACCCATAAATTCTTAATCAACAAAGAATCTTCTCCAACCTGCAGAAACTGTTCTCTCCCATTGACGGTGAAGCATATTCTGATTGACTGCCAGTACCACGAAGAAGCAAGAAGAAAATATGGAATCTCTGATGACATCAAAACCACATTAACCATAAACACTGACCAAGTAATAAAGTATTTAAAAGATTTACGTTTATATACATCTATTTAATGTAAATAAAATGAATTCTTGTGTATGTTACTCCACAAATAACCGTTTTTTGTTAAAAAAAAAAAAAAAAACGTTTTGACACAATGACTCAAATTCTTTTATTAAAACTGTACTCTCTAACAATGACAATTTGGAGGATTCTAATTGAGTTATAGTTTTCTGGACAAAACTATAATTTGATTTTATGAACGACAGTTGCTGTTGGAGGATGTTATTTTGGAAGGCTTGCTTAGTTTTCAATAACTATTGGCAATCGGCAAATCAACAAAATGATCAGCATAGAAATTAGCTGCTTCCAACCATGTTCCCCAACGTGTTAAAATGGGTTGCGGTGCCAGTGAAACAGCAGGAAGCATATCTCTGTAACATTGTATTCTTACAGGTGATTTCAGGAATATCTTTTTGGTGCTCGCTATTAAACTGTTAACTAGCAGCAGGAAGAAAAAAGTTTGCTAATGCTTCTTGTAGAAACCGTGATATTGTTAGAGCGTTGGTTTTTTCCACTTTCTTACAGGAAATTAAATACGATTTTGGAAAGGTTTCATCGCTAAGTACACCATTCAATAAGTGCACAATGTATCTTCCTGACGAGTCAGTGGTCTCGTCCACACATATTATGTAAAAGTAATTATTACCTATTTCGTTTTTTATGTTGTGGATAACTGAGAAGTAGAACAAATTGACATTATTTCTCTTTAGAGTTCGTTCACTGGGAATGTTTGCAATGAAACAAAATGTGCAATTTGCATATTTGCCTAAGTCTAGATATCAGCAAACAAATGAGTTTGACATTTTGATTGTTTATTTAAAAATAGTCCCATCCTGGATGAGAGTATTTTTGTCATATTTTGTACTAAAAATTGTAACTTGGCCCATCTTGGGAATGTCGTCAATTAAAATGTTTTAATTAGGGGTTTAAAATTTTTATTTTTCAACATATTTATATTAAAAATCTTTATTTACGTATTTCAAATTTTTAAAATGACTTTTTATTTAGGTTGAATATGTTATCGCCAGAAGGAAAATGTAAAGTTTTTGGAACTGACCGAAACGGATATGTCCGAGCAGAAAGTATAGTTTCTTACTTTTTGCAAAGAGAAAGTAAAAGTAGAAGAATATATGCCACAGTTCTTGGAGCTAAATCTACTGAAGACGGTTACAAGAAAGAAGGAATTACATTACCTACTGCTGAAGAACAATATGTTTTAATGAAAGAACTATACGAGTCAATAAATATGGATCCAAATGAAATTCAGTTTGTTGAGGCACACGGTACTGGTAAGTATTTTCTTGTTTCCTAATAAGCTTCAACTAAATGCTAGATATGATTTTAAAGAATATAATATTAATCCACTATGACCCGAGTTATTTTTTTATAATTTTTTAAAGAAACTAATATATTTTAATTAAAAATGTATAATAATAGACAACTTAACAATTTTTTAACACAAAAACTTATTAACTAACAAAAAAATTAGTTATACATGAATGTAACGCTAGATCATTACCGTAACTATATATATATATATATATATATATATATATATATATATATATATATATATATATATATATATATATAATCGAAAACCTCTCTACCCTAAGGTGTGAGGTAAATACAATACAATACAATTACAGGTTACAGATATACATTACATCTCAAATCCAATGAAAATATTTATTCTATTCTGTGCACGAATTTTGTCCATTCTTTCTTGTTTTTTGCCTTATTTTGAGCTTCTGACCATTCCAATCCCCTACGTTTCAAAATCTGCCCTACTTCGTCATCCCAGGTTTTCCGTGGTCTGCCTCTAATTTTAAACCTATTCACTTTAGCCTTCCAGACTTGCTTAACGGGTCGGTTGTCGCTCATTCTGCACAAATGACCAAACCATTTTATTTGTTGTGTTTCAATAGCATGTAGTATTGATTCTGTCCGTTCTTCTCTAACATCTTCATTTCTTATTTTGTCTCGTCGTGTTATTCCTTTGACTCGTCTTAGATATTTCATATCAATGGCTTGTATCTTGCTTTTTAATTGCTTTGTTAAAACCCAGCTCTCGCTTCCATATATCAAGATTGGTCGGAATACTGTCTTATAAACTGTCATTTTGGTTCTTCTGCTGATTTCCGGTTTACCTATGAATGCTCTACTAAGATTATGGTACACTTTTGAAGCACTACTGATTCTTTCTGTTATTTCATTCTGCATGGTACCTTCTCTGTCTATTGTAACCCCTAGGTATTTGAATGCATCTACTTGTTCTATGAGTTGTTGGTTAATTTCTATGTTAACATTTCGGTTAGTTTTCGCTATTAGCATCACCTTGGTTTTCTTAACATTAATCTTCATGTTTCTGATTGCCAGCTCATTATTCCAGGTATCTATATTTTTCTGGAGGTCCCTTTCGTTGGAAGCGCATAACATGAGATCATCTGCGAATGCACACTCAGCTATACCAACCGGTCGTAGTTTACTATATCCGATATGTACTTTGTGTATACTTGCTTTTGTTTCCTTAATTATGTCGTCAATAATCAATATGAATAGTGTGGGGCTCATAACACCTCCTTGTCTTAGACCCTCGTTTATTGCAAACATCTCTGATTCCAAGTTATCCTTACGTACATAACTCTTGTTATTTTGATACAGACTTTTGATAGCACCTGTTAGTTGATGGTCAATATTTCTATTTTGCAGACTTTTCCAGACTGCTTCCTGGGACACTCTGTCAAATGCTTTCTCAATATCTAGAAAAGCCATATATATTTCTGTGTTCTTTATTCTCGCTTTCTCAATTATTTGTTTTAACGTAAATATATGGTCTTGCGTACTGTGTCCCTTCCTAAACCCACTTTGTACTTCATCCAGATGTGGTTCAACGATGTGTCTTAATTTCTTTTCTAGGATGCTTTCATATATTTTGGAGACGATACTAAGTAGATTAATTCCTCTATAATTTTCACAAGAACTTGGGTCTCCTTTCTTAAAGATTGGTAGTATTATGCCAATTCTCCAATCTTCGGGGACTGTACATCGGTTCCAAGCCATGTTCATAATTTTGGTTAAAAATTCAACTCCTTTCGGTCCCATTGTCTTTAACATTTCTGCAGTGATTTTGTCATGACCAGCCGATTTACCTCTCTTTGTGTTGTTAATTGCTTCTTTAACTTCTTCTATTTGAATATAATTTTCTTGCCCATGTTCTCCTTCTACTTCTATCATTACAGTTTCCTCTTTCGGCTGTCTTGGTGTTAGGAGTTCGCTGAAGTATTGTCTCCATCTTTCCATAATCTCATTTGGTCTGGTAATCAGTGTGCCGTCTTTACGTTTCACCTGTTTCATCGTTGTTTCTTTACCTTTTCTTAGCGTCTTTAGTGCCTTGTAAAACAATTTTTGGTTACCCCGGCTATCTGCCTCCATCTTCATTCCAAACTCATCCCAGGCTTCCTTCTTCTTCTTCAGCACCATTTCTTTCACCACCTTTCTTTGTCGTTTATATTCTTCGTAACTACTTTCTGTTCTCTTGTTTAAATATATTTTCCATTTCTGTTTTTTATATTTTATTTGGGCTTTTAATTCATCGTCCCACCATCGTGTTTGCTTCTTATTTCTGTTTACATGGTTTATTCCACACGTTTCTTTTGCTGTCGTCACGATGGTTTCTTTAAATTGTTTCCAAATTTCCTGTAAGTTGTCAGTACTATGTGCATTAGTTAATTTGGCTAGTTTTTCTTCTATTTTACTTTTGAACATGGCCGCGACTTTTTGATCATTTAGTTTATAGTTTTGGATATTCTCGTTCACTTTATTATTTTTTGTTCTTTGTTGAGTGGTTTTAGGGGTTTTTTGGGGTAATCTTATCTTTGCCATTACCAGATAGTGGTCACTATAGATTTCCGGGCCTCTTTTAACTCTGACATCAGTGACCTCTTTCCTAAATTCTCTATTAATGAGAACATAATCTAGAATTGATTTTTCATTTCTGCTCCTGACTTCTCTCGTAAACTTGTGTATATCTTTGTGTTCAAAAAATGTGTTGGTGATAATCAAATTATTCTCCATGCAAAAGTCTATCATCCTTCTTCCATTATCGTTTCTTGTATCTTCCCCTGCATACCCATAATATCTATGTTATCATCGTCTCTTTTACCAACTCTGCTATTCATATCGCCTAGAATGACTATTCTACCTTTCACATTTTCTATGGCATCATTGAGCTCTTCCCAATATTCTTCTTTAACTTTCAATGGTTCGTCATCATTCGGGCCATATGTGACTAATATAGTTGTTATTTCTGATTTATCTAGTGTTATCTCTATCTTTAAATTTCTTTGTGATATACATTTCCAATTTTTAACATATGACATATAGCTTGCTCTCATTAGGCATCCTACACCTTCTGCCGCTCTACTATCGATACTGACTCCGCTGTACAAAAATACATGTTCTTTATCCAATTCATCCATTCCTTGACCTTTCTTTTTAGTTTCCGTGATCGCCAAAAAATCTAATTGTGCTTTGTCAAATTCATCTATTAATTCTCTCTCTTTTCCATTAAGGCTTCTGACGTTCCACGTAGCCATTTTTATGTACTTTTGTAGTCTGTTTGCCCCTTGATCTTGTATTATATTTCTTTTTTGTCCAATTCAATTATATCGTTAGTCCTTATTCTCGCCTTGTTTGGTATTCCATGTTGATCAGTTCTATTTGGCCGATGGTCTGCTATTTCTTCCTGGCTTTGTTGAGAGCCTTCATCTCCCTGTTCCACGTCCATACTTCTCCATTTATTATAAGTTTTTGAAACCCCATTTGGACTGTATTCCCTTTACTCTTTTCTTCCTTAGCTTTAGCTCTAATTTCTTTTTGAATAATTCTCTGCTGTTCGCTCATATCATCATTTATATATACTTTGTGTTCTCTAATATTTCTTAGTTTGGCTTTATTGTTCATAAGTGTGTATTTTTGGTTACTATCTTTTAGTTCTAATAAACAGGTCTTTTCTCCTATTTTAATTGCCCTTTCTATTTCAATCTCAATGTTCAGGTGCGTACTTATAAATCTTTGCATATTGCTCTTCACTGTTTCTACGTTATTTGTTTCTATTGGTAGTCCCTGAATTACTACATTATTTCTTCTTTTTTCGTTCTCAAGTCTTTCAATTCTGTCCATTGCTTGTATAAGATCTTTCTTGATCTCTTGATTTTCTTTTCTGATTTGCGTATTTTCCTTTTTCAAATCTTGAATTTCTGTTAGACATTTTTTTTGTTCTTGTTTTATTTCCTTCATTTCTGCTTCTATAAATCGTTGCAAGCCTTGGATCATATCCATTATTTTTCCTGAGTTATCTTCTTTTTTCTCTTTCATGTCTGGAGATCTTTTAGTTTTTACGCACTTTCCAAAACCAAATGTTTGTGAGCCTTTCCTTCTTTTGCCCTCATCCGTGGTGTACTCGTCTTCACTATCCATTGCTTTCTAATTGTGCTCGTGATATTAGCTATTCAGTTCAACTATCCAATCGCGTAAAAAGTAGACCCCGGTCAACCCGTCGTAAGTCTTGCTTTTATCGATCGGTTTTCTATTAAGCTGTGGTTTTCTTCACAATAAAATGTATAATTCTGTTCTCTTTAAATTATTTACTATTTTTGCATTACGGCAACACCGCTTTTCTACCGGTCAGAATCCCGTGGTCGAATTAGTTCTTTTGCTCTTATCGCTAAAGTAAACAACAGAAACTGGTCGTATCGGAATAACTGATTTTGCTTATTATTGTTTGTAATTAGCCACTTACTATCGGTTTATTCACACTGCGATACGCGTTGTAACTTTACACACACTTATTGCTGCTTTGGCACAATTATTTCACTCTGCACCTCTCGATTTTCGGGTTTAATGCAGGAGCAAGCCAATTGCACTTCATACGCTTGACCACCATTACCGTAACTAAAATAAAATAAATTCTTAAGAAACACAATGAAATTTATATTATAAATAGTATGTCTTCATATGAAAAGTATAATTGCAATCAATACACATACCGACATCACATTTGCTACACATTGTTCGAGCACTACTGCTACACTCCTCTCCTACACAGTGTTGACTTTTGTTAAATATGTTGTTAAATATTAAAAGGTGATTGTTTCCATCGTACCTCAGATTGAGATTCTATTAAGCGAGACACTAAATTTCGAAGAATTGGGTCTTTCTCCATGCTTTGGAGCATTTGTATATTTTTTAAGATATGACTGAGCAATACATCTTCTGAAATCTAATT